ATTTTCCATTGATTTCCTTTTTTAATTGATTTGTAGAAACCCTGTGTCATATATATTACCAACCTTTTCCTCTTTTGTCCACCAAAAGGTCATGAGAGGATTAGAGTCAAAATTACTGGCTGGTGGTTCAGACATGTAGTCTTAGCTACCTAGGAGGCTTAGATTTGAGGATCATGGTTCAAAGCCAGCCCTGGCAGGAAAATCCATGAGACTCTTATGCCCAATTAACCACTGGCAAGTGGCACTGTGGCTCAAAGTGGTAGAGCGCTAACCTTGAACAAAAAGAGATCAGGGACAGCACCCAGGCCCTGAGTACAAACCCCTTGACTACCACCACCAACAACAAATTTCTGAATTCATCTGTTGCATCACCTCTTGGACAATGTGTTCAACATGGGAGATTCCAGAAGCAAATTTGTGGAGAAACAATCAGTTGTAATTATTTTTGGAAGTCTTATTCTGAATTTTAGCTCAGAGATCTACCTTCTCAGAAAGACCTCCTGCAGTCAAATCCAAGTATGGCCCGCTGCCCACTCCTGTGTGCATCACTTCTGTTTTTTTTCTTTTGTCAGTGTGGGGCTTAAACTAAGGGCCTAGGCATTGTTCCTGAGCCTGTTTATACTCAAGGCGAGAGCTTTATAACTTGAGCCACAGTGCTACTTCCAGTGTTTGAGTGGTTAATTAGAGAGAAGAGTCTCATGGGAACTTTTTTGCCCAGTCTGGCTTCAAACCGAGATCTCAGATCTCTGCCTCCTGATTAGCTAGGATTACAGGCGTGAGCCACCAGTGCCCAACTTCTTCTGGGCATTTTAAACCCTCTGAAATTACTCTATTTGTCTGTGCACTTGCTGATTGCCTCATGCTCCATGACCTCTCCTGACTTCTTCATGGCAAGAGACTGGTTCTGGCAATTGTGACCACTGCAGAGCAGCCTCTCCACAAATAGCTCTTGAATCAATGTTGAATGAATGAGTTTTAGATTTCATCTTAATGTTAAAAGATTTTGATAACAAAGTCAGTTTGGTCTGCAGTATTTTAAAGTCTGATTTAAGAATAATTGCCAGGTGCCAGTGACTCACACCTGTAATCCTAGCTACTCAGCAAGGAAGATCACAGTTCAAAGCCAGCCTGAGCAGGAAAGTTCATGAGATTCTTATCTCCAATAAACTATACAGAAAAAGCTAGAAGTGGTTCTGTGGCTCAAGCAGTAGAGCACTAACCTTGAGCACAGAGAGGTTCAGTGCCAGAGCCTTGGCCCCAGGACCAGCAAAAAAAAAAAATCTGTTGTGGTTAAGTAGATTAATTAGTATTACTGTTATTCATTTACTTTAGTATTAATACTGAAAAAAGATTCTTGCCTAATTACTCATGACAAATACATGCACATACTATTTATTTATTTATGCCAATACCAGGTTTGAACTCAGGACCCTTAGCTCTCATTCAAGGCTGGTGCACATGTCCTCCATTGATCCCTAGACCTCAGCCTCTTGAGTCGCTAAGAGTACAGATATGAGCCACTAGTGCCTGGCTAACAAAATGTTTTTATTTACTCTTGTCTCTTTACTTTGCCTTTTTATTTTATTCATTTATTTATTTTTGGAGGGAAGACGAGGGTATTATGATTTGAATTCAAGTACTCAACCCCTTGAGACATGCCTCTAACCCTCTTGGAGTTGTACCTGATTTTGTTACCAGTTTTCATCCGAATCCACTGGGGAATGGGGCGATTTTGCTTTTGTTTCTTGGCCAGAAACCGCTTGATTCTGAAAGTCTCGTGAGAAGACATGATGAGAAGCTCTGGAAGGCACAGTAACCACGATGGCGAACAAAAGCTGAAGAGAGCACCTTGGCTGTTTTTTTTTTTGGGGGGGTCCGGTCGTGGGGCCTGAACTCTGGGCCTGGGCGCTGTCCCTCAGCTCTTCAGCTCAAGGCTAGTGCTCTACCACTTGAGCCACAGGGCCATTTCCGGCTTTTTTTTTCTTGCTTATGTGGTGCTGAGGAATCGAACCCAGGGCCTCGAGCATGCAAGGCAAGTGCTCTACCACTGAGCCACCTTCCCAGCCCCGTACACCTTGGCTGTTTTTAAGATAGGGTCTCATATTATACCCTGGCTGGTCCAGACTGAGATTCTCCTACTTTCGCTTCCCTATGTCACTGGGGATGACAGGCATGCAGCACTGTGCCCAGCCATTTTGCTTCTCTTACAGAAGTCTCAGGGAAAGTCTCATGAAGTCTCTGAACTTCTTTTAGCCTAGACTGGCCTCAGACTATGACACCTCCCTGCTGCCATCTCTGCCTCCCAGTAGCTGGGAGTACAAGCTGTGCCACCACACCCAGCTATATTTTCTGAGGAATCTGGAAAACATCCTCATTGGATTTTATGGAGCCAAGGATGTTTTTGAAAGTCTCATTTTGAATCAAATGTTTTCCTCTGATATTGATCTAATCACTTCCTATTTTATACTGCATTCTTAACATTTTGAGCAATTAGCTTATCATCTATCTCTGAAATATCACATTTCCTGTTCTGTAGATAAAACCATGGGAAATGTCATGGCCAGACTTTCTAATATCAATCACATCTCATCTCTTTAAGAAGACCAACTAACAAATAATTGAGTCTTTTCACATTTTTTTCCTTAACGCTGACATATTTCTTTAGTTCTAATCCTATAGGTCTTCCCAGCTCCTACTGCTTGAATGGTCACTGACCATAATTCTTGGCTTCCTGCACAGACCCACATTTTGCTAAGCTTTGGGCTGATAGGTTCTGTGCTGTCTGCAGACTTCTGTACCTGCAGGTTACCTGGAGCTGGCCCTGGAGCTAGACTGGGCCTACATTTCAGTCTTGCTTCTAACTACCTTAGAGACTCTGGACGCATAATTTAACTTTCCTGAATCTCCATATCCTCATTTTTGAGTTGGAGATAGTAACAGGCTCCATAATTCTGGAAGATTCTTTCAGTCATCCAACAAATCTTATTGTCTAATGTGTGCCTCATTAGACATATGTGTTTATATTTATGTTTTATTTTATTTTAGCTGGTACCAGTGTTTGAACTCGGGCCTTCTACTTGCTAGGCAGATACTCTACCTCTTGAGCCATATTTCTAGCCGCCTGTTTTTTTTTGTTTTTGTTTTTGTTTTTTTGCCAGTCCTGGGGCTTGAACTTGGGGCCTGGACCAGAGGCTTGAACCATGAGCCTCTATGTGTTCAACGCTAGTCTTCTATCACGTAAACCATAGCACCACTTCCAGCTTTTTCTGAGTAGTTGATTGTAGATAAGAGTCTCATGGACTTTCTTTCCTGGGCTGGCTTTGAACCATGATCCTCAGATCTCAGCCTCTTGAGTAATTTAGATTACAGGTATGAGCCACCTGGCTTCCAATCTTCTTTCACATTAGTTATATTTCAGGTAGCAATTGAGCTTAGACCATGATCCTTCTATTTATTCTTCCTTCCTAGCTGGAATCACAGGCATATGTCTGTTGACTGAGATGGGGTCTTGAACTTTTCTCACAGGCTGGCCTCAAACCAAGATCTTCTCCATCTTTGCCTCTTGAGTAACTGGGATTACAGGTATGAGCCACCCTAGCCAGCCCTTATATGTATATAGTTTTATACACTATATCTATTTCTTATATATTTACTTCAAAAGTTAGAAAATTAGAAAACAAAGAGGTGCTAGGAGTATTTCTTTATGAATTTGGGGGTGGGCCGAGAGAACCCTTCTGGGGAGATGATATTTAGGGGTGATTTGGATGAAGTGGAGGAGCTAGGCATATGAGGAAAAGTATTCTTGGCATAAGGGCCATCAAGAGTAAAAGCTCTTGAGGGACAGCGCCCAGGCCCAGAGTTCAGGCCCCATGACCGGACCCCCCCCAAAAAAAGAGTAAAAGCTCTGAGATGAGATAAAAAAAATGTGCATAAAATTTTGACAAATAAAAATTTGAGCTGGGCACCAATGACTCATATCTGTAATCCTAGTTGCTCAGAAGGCTGAAATTTGAGAATCATAGTTCAAACCCAGCTTGAGCAAAAAGTTCATGCGACTCTGATTTCCAGTTAATCACCCCAAAGCCAGAAGTGGAGCTGTAGCTCAAGTGGTAAAGTGACAGTTTTATGCCATAAGCAAGCACACAAAGTCCTGAGTTCAAGCCCCAGTTCTGGTACACACACACACACACACACACACACACACACACACACACACACACACACACACTACACCATCCAAATGGGTATCTGTATGTCACAGAGTAAGCTGGAGTCATTGCTGCTACAATCACTACACCAATAAGCATCATCATTTCAATTGAGTGTAATAAAAGGGTCAGAATATAAGTCAGCAGGAACTGGTGTAGGTTGGACTTCCTGGAGGAATGCACAAGGCCCATTCCACTCACCCCCCTACCCTTCCTCTAGAACATGGCCTTCCTCTTGACTGGCCATCACACCTTGTCTGTGACGCTTACCAACATCTCAGATGAACTTCAAGGCTGAATCCGTATTATCCTCACATCCTAATGATGTCTGCCAGAGCAGCTCTGCTTATAGTACAGGCTGTTAACAGAACCGTTTGTCCAACCCTGTCAGTTAAGCGCAGATTTCCTTCCCCAACCCTGTCAGGTTAAGAGTGGCCTAAATTGTGTCTGGAACAGAAGCAGAAGTGACTATGAGGTTTGGCCCTCATAATCTCACATCCCTTTGCTGTCCAGGACAAAACCTTGTGACTCTAGGGGTGAAATTAACCACAAGGAAGGAAGTTCCTATTCTATTTCCTTCTAGTTTATTTTGTGACTAAGTTCTTCCCTCTAGATTTTCTACCAGCACCATCTGTTTCCAGATCATTTCACTCTTATCCCTGACACCTTTGTTCTTTTTACTCCTCTCTATAAGCCAAATCTTGCTGCAGCACACATTTCAATACCCAAATGTGGGAGGGCGGCAAATATGAAGTATAGAAGTCAATTATAGAAGAGGTGATTTTTCCCCATAAAGAAATGCAACTTTATTATTTTCAAGTACATATATAGTGCCTCAAACTAATGTCCTACAGGTCACAGTAAAGATCCTGTAGCTATTTCTTTAACAAATACATCAGGATTGATGATAATTAGCCAATACACTTGCTATACTTCTAAATGCATATCCAGAAAGTACCTGAAAAGTATAATTTTAGAAAGACTAAAAAAGCCACCCCTAACAATTCAGCTTATGCTAATTCACTAAACAAATGCCATTTTTATTGATTGCATAAAGATGAACTTTTGTCCACAGTCAATTAATCGGGCTCAAATAAATATGGTGTTGGATTTAGATTTCCATCCTAAAATAATGACTCACTTATTTCAAGGTTCTTCTGATAAAGCAAAATTCCACTGCAGGGAAATGAAAGCCACTGCGGGCTGTTTATGGGCCTGACTAAGGTTGTGTTTTGTCCTTCTTTTCTGCCTAGGCCTTCCATTTTCCTACGGTGTCTAGATTTCTGTGTAGGGTTTCCAATACCTTCGGGACAGGTTTAGGGAATAGGCAGATTTGCCTACAGAGCAATTGTATTAGGTGAGGAGGGAGTAAAGAAAAGTGTCTACCACAGGAACCCAAAGCCACCTCTCCTTCTCAGGGCAAGTGAGCATGGTGACCCTTAGGGTGAAGGATGCTTGTCTGTGGGAGTGGCCCTACCATGTGAGAGATGGAAGGTAGGTCTCTTAACATTGTCCCTCTTACAGCTCAAAGGATCTGATTATGACATGACCTAAGCTGATTCTACTTGTCGCTGGGAGTTAGGAACTATTTCACTCCAATTCCAACTAATGGCCAGGAGCTCCTTTTCCAGGGCCGGCTTGCTAGTGCCAAGAGTGACAGATTTATGAGGATCAGCGTCAAGGTTCCTCCTTGGTATAGAGTGTGGGGAGACAACTGACAGCATCCAGGGGCCCGGAACAGCATGAGTGCCTAAGGACTTAGTATTCTCAAGGGTGGGATGATGCCAAGCACTGTGATTGAGACAGCTGGAGCTTCTGGATGCTTCTAGGCCTCATGGACTAAAAGGACTGTGAACCAAGGGCCAGTGGGACACTAGCTGGCATGCAGTGTGGCATCTGTGGAACTGCTTGAATTTGCCTTCTGGTTCTATTCTGCTGCTACTCTGATGAGATATGAATTTGGTCTACTGGTGGGTTATTCTAAAAGGGAAGGATGCAGGGCCTAAACCTTTACCATCTACCTGGAGACTCAAGACAGGCTGAACTTCTGAACATAGGTGCTATTGTTGCAGTATTGGAGCAGTATTTCTTTTTTTGGGGTCTGGTCATGGGGCCTGAACTCTGGGCCTGGGCGCTGTCCCTCAGCTCTTCAGCTCAAGGCTAGTGTTGGAGCAGTATTTCTATTGCCCCAATATTACTATTGCTTTCCTACCTTTCTTCCTTTTCTGCCTCTTTCCTCTGGACAGAACACCCTACCTCCCACCTGCCTGCCCAGATCTTCTCTCCAGCCCCTCACTGAGGGAACAGGCCCAGCCTCTCCAACTAGCTTCTCTTCTTAGCCTCAGGCTCTTGAACTCATTGGAGAAGCCTTTGTGATTTCAAGTTCTGAGGGGAAGCAGAGGGGAAAGACAATGAGAGGCAAGAATGGAAGAGGAATGGGACTGAAGACATGAAGTAACACTTGATGATCTAAGGGTTTCTTCTTCCGAATTAGGCAGATCCTTGCCTTCAGATGTTCATCTATGGGAGATGAAGTAAAGGGCTAAGGCTTGGAGAGGGCTGGCACAAACCCCACTTCCTCAACAGGGTGACAGGGTGGAATAAGATGAAAAAGAATCTGGGAGCTAGCATGCAGTCTAATCTGAGAGTTCACAATTAGGTCTATGGAGTGGTCACTCTCGTTTGTTTTCTTTTTAAACCCATTCTCCCCAACTTAGCCTGCTGAGTTGCTTCATTGTCTCTCTCCAAATCTTCCCCCTTTAATACTACCGCAGTTTTTCCATCCTGCCCCACAATCATCCTTGCAACGTCTCCAGAGCATCCCATCTCGCCCATGGCTGATTCTTCTTCCTGTGGACTCAGTAATATGTCTCCTTTTCCACCCAGCCTGTTAGAGAGATTGGGGTAAAGGTTACAGTGTGAGTTCAAAATGAGGCAAACGATCCATTTCTTGGGAGGTTGGGTAGCTAAAGCCAGGTGGAGGGAGTGGCCTGGGGAGGGGTTTGAGGGAAGCAGCTTCAGGTGATGGGAGGGAGGTGGAGGAGTAGGCCAGGGGCCTACCCAGCAGGCTGTGGGTTAGAGGTAAGAAGAGGGCAAGCCTGCCTTCAGGGGAGATCTGTGTTGCCACAGTGGAGGCTGAAGTGTAAATGTCTACAGGGACCTTCAGTTTAAACACTGTCTAGAAGCACTATCCACTGATGAAATGAAGCAGCTTAGAAATATGGTCAGAGCACTGCCAGCTCTTCTGATCTTTGAGAAGTTAGAAACAGATTTAATTGAGAGCCCCTACATTATGACTATTGGACCCCCCCTTCCTCTCTGTGTATGTGTATATATGTATGTAGCTGGGTGCTGGTGCCTCATGTCTATAATCCTAGATACTCAGGAGGCTGCCAGCCCAGGCAGGAAAGACTGAGACTCTTATCTCCAATTAACCACCAGAAAACCCAAAGTGATGCTGTGACTCAAGTGGTAGAGTGCTAGCCTTGAGTGAAAAAGCTCAAGGACAGTACCCAGGTCCTGAGTTCAAGCCCTAGGCTATTCTCTCTCTCTGTTTCTCTGTCTCAGTCTCTGTCTGTCTCTGTCTCTGTCTCTCTGTCTCTGTCTCTCTGTCTTTCTGTCTCTCGGTCTCTGTCTCTCTGTCTCTCTCTCTCACACACACACACACAAATACTGATCACATCAAACTAAACATGGTCTATGGACTGTATTTGGTTTTTAGGCCATTGTTTTTTAACCTAGTAAGTGATTTTTTAAAAAAAATTGTCAGAAAAAAATAAGCCCTTGTTGGATGCCAAGGAATCAGGAGACTGAGGGTTGTAGTGCTAGTTCTGCTACTCCTAGCCTGTGACCTTGAATAAATAAATCCACCCTAGTACCTTCTCTTTCTCTGAAAAATTTAGAGGTGAGGTGATTAGTTTGAGGAGTCTCTTCTAATTTGAATGTTCTGTGATGTCAGGGGAAGGAGGGAGCCTTGGAGACCTGTGGTCAGTTAAGTGAGACTTAGAATCTGAGAGGTAGTAGGGAGGAAGGGTAGACTCCAGAATCAGGTTCCTGGATCTAAGGGTTGTGAGAAACAGGAGCAAAGGTGTAATAAAGAAATTGAGTGTTGGGTGTGGAGCCCAGAGGCAGATCAGGGTGGGGCTGGCCTGGGGGCCTGGTTGGGTGGAAGAGCTTACCCCCAGGATATCGCCGCAGGATGAGCTTCCGGACCTCATCATAGATGAAGATGAGGAGACTGTAGGGGAAGGCACAGAACCACCAAGTGACCCTAAAAACAAATGATGGGAGGGGCAATCAGGAACCTCAGAGGTTGGCACTGCATCACACACACTGGGATTTAAATGTATAAGAGCCTGAATCCTGGGGGAGAGGGGTGGCCGGACACCCCTGTGCCATGCACGTGGCCACCCGAAGGGACACTCACTTGAGTGGGTACATACGGAGGGCTACTCCCATGCCTGGGCAGTAAGACAGAAAGGCAGCTAATGCCGTCTCCTCCAGGAGTCCAAAAATCAAGATCTTGTTCCTGGAAAGGCAGAGAACAAGAGGTTTGCGATGGAGTGGGAAGGAAGAGATTCAGGGGCACCCTTGGGGGTGGAGAGGACAGGGGAGGGAAAAATATGAAGGAAGGGCTATAAATGATACCTTCCTATGTCCTCTTCAAACATCTTCTTTTACTTTATGTAACCATAGAAACCTTTTCTTTTTCTGCCTACTGAGTTTAGCTCCAATTATTGTCTATCACACATATGTTCATAATTGTTTCTTACATATTGGGTGATCTGCTCAGAGCTGGAGATGCAGTGGTCAGCAGAGCCCTGCCCCCAGGAAGCTTACAATCTTCAGATTACAATTGCTTACAATTGTAATTACAATCTGAAGCTTACAATTGCTTCAGATGCATCTCTCCAATGAGATGCTTTGAAGAGCTGGGTAATCCCAGTACTCACGACATTGAAGCAAGACAATCAGGACCAGCCTGTGCTACCTATCAAGCCCATCTCCAAAAACAAATTACAAGCATACAAAAAAAGATTCCTTGAGAACTCTTCCAGTGCAGAGCCCATGCATGTCTTACACTTCTCAGTATCTCCTACAGAGTCTATTGGTGGTTCATCAAAGATACTGAATGAAGAAGAGGATGTTTGGAAGGCTGAGGGAGCTCTGGGAAGTCTGTGTACAGGAAGTGGTTACATGTTTACTATGGCAGAATTGAAAAGAAGCATAGACAGAGGTTTGGGGGGAGGATTCTGGAGTCAGATAAGGAGTCTGTTTCCAGCTCTGTCAAATTTGTGGCTTTGCTCAAGTTTTCCTTTTCTTCCCATTGGCCTGTAGGTGAGCTGGATTTAGCAGCCTGACCATTGTCCCTAGCTTCTTTTGTCATCCATGTGCTGCACAGAAGTCCCAGGCCTTAGGTCTGTCCCCAATTTCTTAGATTCTCTGGGACATGAATGGCCATTGTTTAAGGTAGAAGAAGAGAAAGGGAACTAGCTTGGTACCTTCCGCACTCAACCTCCATTCCATGCTAGAATCCTGATAGGTGCCAGACTCTGAGATGTATGAACCAGTAGGATTAGAGTGTAAGCCAGGAACTTGGGCTTTAGAGATAAACCTGGTAGATCCTTACTAAACAGCAAGCTTAGGCACAACATTTAACCTTTTGGGGGCCTTTTGTTCACTTGAACACCAATATTTACTTTCTACTGCACTTGTAAGGATTTAATACTATCTGCCAGAGACTTGGCCCAGTGCTGGGCACTTGGTACCATGCTGTGAGAAGGCCCAAGGCTGCCTACAGGCAGCACCACAGGGTAGGTAGTACTCTAGACTATCTGTTGAGTGGTAGTGAGGAACAAAGAATGGGGGTAGATGCCACTGGAGTGATAGATGGGGAATGAAAGGAGGCGGGAAAGGAGGAAGGGAGAAAGGAAGGATGAAGAGAGAAGATAAAAAGGAAGGAGGAAGGAGACCACAACAAAGTATATTTTAGGAACAAAATTAGAATCAGTGGAAAGGGTTCTATCATTCCTTCCTATTTCAAATCTAGCTATGGATAAACAGCTGGGTAATAAAAACTAGATGCCCTGTTGTGGGCTGGGACTCAGGGAAGTGAGGTGAACTTCTGTTGGGATTCTGGACTGGGAGAATTGGTGGTCTTGCCCCAGAGCACTCTGCCTGGATGGATGGGTGCCAGTAGGGTCCTCACTTCATGCCCTGCTGGAAGACTGAGTTGCGGCGAGTCTTGCAGATGATGAGGTCAGCCCACTGCACCACCACAATGCTGGCAAAGAAGGCCGTGTGGCACGTGAACTCCACCACCTTCCGCTGCTCATAGGTCTAGGGAGGGTGGGCAGAGAGAGGTGAAGTGTTAGAGGAAAAAGTAGGACCAGAGTACAACATGGTTTTGGGGTCGTAGTTAAACCTGGTAACCAATCCATCCTTTGGCTCCTGGACCCTCCTGCCAAGCATTACAGCCCAAACCTCAAATGTGGGCATGGCGCTTCTGTTGTCCCACTCACCCACTCCTGTCCATAGCTGTCCTCCAGGTCATTTGTGGTCCGATCATCCCAGTCCAGGCGGATTCCCAGCAGCCTTGATGGCAGGAAACCATTCTCTGCCAGGATCACAAAGTAGGTGAAGAAGCCACCCAGTGCCTGGATCATCCCTGTGAGTGGTGGACAACAGGCAGGACTTGGGTCAGGGAAGGAATCAATTACAGAAGCCTTTGGGGGTTCCCTCCTAGTCTCTGGGCCTGGCGCACCGATCTGTCCATAAGCCATGCTGATAAGTCTCTCGTTCACCAGCTTGTCTGTCTGGGAGTTTCGTGGCTGCCGCTTCATGATGTCACTCTCAGCTGCTTCGTAGGCCAAGGAGATGGCAGGGACCTGTGTGCATAGGATGTGGGGACAGGGGAGGAAATTAGAAGGGATGTGGGAGACCATGGGTATAGCACTGAAGAATCTCTAACACAATTCAACACACATACATGTTCTAAGATACTATTCTCCCGGCCCAAGTGTGTCTTAACAGTCAGGACCCAATTGGCTGCCCTGGTGCAGTTCCTTCATATGCTATCTAGCTCAGTCATCCAGGCTTCATGGCTGCCTTGCCTGCTCCCGGCCTCACCCTCGGGGCTCACCATGTCAGTGCCCAGGTCGATGCAGAGAATGGTCACAGTGCCCAGAGGGAGGGGAATGTTGGCGATGATGAACAGCAGGAAGGGGGTGATCTCAGGGATGTTGCTAGTTAGGGTGTACGCGATGGACTTCTTCAGGTTGTCAAAGATGAGGCGCCCTGTGGGGAGATTCTGAGAGCATCAGGGAGATTGGAGGGACTGTCCCCACCCCCAGCCCATGAAGAGTGGCCTCCTATTTTCCTGAGAGAGGAAAGGTAGTATATTTGAGAGACACTAAAGCAGGCTGGGGTGCTGGAATCATGGGTTGACATTTCTATTAGGGTAGAACACACACAGGAGGCAGAGGGACTGGCTTCAGACATCCTGGATGCCACCCCAGCCCATGCCGCCTCCTCACCCTCCTCCACGCCCGTGACGATGGAGGCAAAGTTGTCGTCCAGCAGGATCATGTCAGCCGCCTGCTTAGAGACGTCAGAGCCAGAGATGCCCATGGCAATGCCAATGTCCGCCTTCTTCAGGGCAGGGGAGTCGTTCACCCCATCACCCGTCACGGCCACAATGGCTCCCTGAGGAGAAGATGTCATTGTGAGGATAAAGCACCTCTCCAGGTGGCCACTGACCTTCCACCCGACTCCCTTCTCACGGCTTACCTGCCTCTGACATCCTTCCACGATGATCAGCTTCTGCTGGGGAGAGGTGCGGGCAAACACGATCTCTGTGTGGTCCCTGAGAATCTCATCCAGCTGCTCCGATGTCATGTCCTTCAGGTCTGAGCCATGTACCACACACGCCTTGGCTTCTCTGGAGGGTAGGAGCAGCTGTGACTGACTACCTGTGCCCGGGTCTCTCCTCGCCATCTCTGGGCCTAGGCTCCTCTGTCACTTTTACATCCCTCTCCCTTGGTGTTCAGTCCCTCCTCTGCTCTCTATATCCTGGCCATGTGACATCATCACAGGCTGTAGGTAGAGTTTTCTGGCCGTGTGCTACTTCCTTCTTGGCCATCTCATACCCACAGCCACCCCATCATGTGGATACATCCTAATTTTGTAGTGGAGCAATGGAAGTTCAGCAAGGCAGAGTGACTACCACCAAAGTCACACAGCTCATTGGTGGTAGAGTCTGGACAGAAATTCAGGCCTAAGGAAGTAGTCACAGAAGTTCTGAAGTATGCCGTTTGCGTATCCCCCAGGAGACAGTGAAGCTCTCACTGTAGGAGAGTACATGTTGCTCAGGGGTAGGATTCTGAAAAGGCCTCACCTGGGGTTGACTTGACTCACAGGAATGTTGAGCCGGGCTGCAATGTCTTCCACTGTCTCGTTACCCTCTGATATGATGCCCACACCTTTGGCAATGGCCTTGGCTGTGATAGGGTGATCCCCAGTCACCATGATCACCTGGTGGAAAGGAGAAAAGGAACACAATGTTAAGAGATTATTCCCATTCCTTCCCCCAAAGCTAGTGAAGCATCTAGGTCACGAGATGTCTGAAGCTGGTAAATCCCAACCTAAATAATGGAAGTATGTTCACGTGTATGTGTAGTTTGGAGCTGAAAAATAGCTGTCTTAAGCAGAAGACATCCATGACAGTGACAAGTTAATGAAGGTCCCTTGGAAGAGAAGCTTGGGTTGGGTTGGTTAGGCTTGTTCTGAAGTGTCTTTAGGAGCTTAGATTTCATGGAGATGAGGCAGTCAGAGCTGGAAGGTCACTTCCTTTAACAGCTCCCCTTATTACATGGATGAGGGAGGATTCACAATTGGCTCTGGGTCCCAGAACAAATGAATGAGTGTGAGTGCTGTAAGTCTGTGGATGGACACAGTGCCCTGTGGCTGGCATCTTGCTCCTTTGCCTCAGCAGCCCTACACAGTGTTGGAAGAAGAGTCCTGCCTTAGCCAGGATAATGTCTACTGCTGCTGCAACATGGATGGAGTGGGATGAGAAGATGGTCAGCGGGTAAGGTAAAAGGCTATTAGCATAAAGTATTCAAAGTTAGATGAGGGCAGCATCTGCCTGTATGGTTTGTGGGGAAACTCGCACAGATCCTGAGAAGTAAATTGCTTCAGATCTCACTCTTTCTCTCCAACCCCATATCACTCCACTAAAACTGCCCTCAAATGGGCCACCAAATAGAAAAACAAAAGGTGAAATCTTTAAATCTCACCTTCCTTGACCCTCTGAGGCACTGACAATGTTGAGGACTCCTCCTGAAACCCTATGCTCTCTTGGTGCCCACATCTTCTTTTGTCCTCGTTCCCCTCACCATGCACCCCTCTGCTTGCTCATTCCAGCCTAGTAGAATGGAGCAAGCACTGCCTTAGAGTTGGATAGGGGAACAAAACCTAGATGCTTTCCAGAGTCTTGGAACAATGGAGATGATTCCCAGCTTTCCAGGTTGTCTTGAAGACCACATGACATTATGTGGATGCCAAGTGTTAGCTGTGGCCTTCTATCCTCCCTCTCCTCACTAGGTATTCTTTGTCTACTTTCCCATACATATTAGTATAGCCCACGGTTTCCTTCTCTTTCTCTTTTCTAATGTGTACTTCCACATCAATATTATAAAACATACTAGTTTGTACCTGTGTGCTAATGAGATTCAAATTTCCAATCCTGATCCTCTTTCTTGAGTTTTAACGTATATTCCAACCCTGGAATCCCTCTTTGAGTTTCTTACAGGTACTTCAAACTTACTGTCCAAGCTTTACTCTTTTGTTCAGTTATTGTTTTGTTGGTGGTGGTTGTGGGGCTTGAACTCAGGGCCTGGGTGCTGTCCTTGAGCTTTTTCCGTTCAAGGCTAGCACTCTAACGACTTTGAGCTACAGTGCTACTTTTGTTTTTCTGGTGGTTAACTGAAGATAAAAGTTTCACAGACTTTCCTGACCTGGCTGGCTTCGAACTGCGATCCTCAGATTTCAGCCTTTTGAGTAGCTAGAATTACAGGCATGAGTTACCAGCACCTGGCTCAGATGGAACTCTTATCTCTATTCCCAGGTTTGGAAAGGCCAAACCTGCTCCTCTCTACATGAGATATCATCTGCTCTATTCATTCTGTCCCTTTCTCTTTCATATTCTCTACAACTCCTATACCCACTTGATCACCAAGTTTTCAAAACATTTCTCATAAGCAACTATCTCTCAATCCCTTTTTTGCTGTCCTGGTTCAGGTCATCATCATCCTTTCCCTTATCTATCATGTAGCCTCTTCACCTGTCTCTTGATTTCCAGTTGTTTCCCAAATCCTGTCCACCTTGCGTCCAGATAGCCTTTAAGCACCTATGACATTGGTAGCCCTGTATGGGCTATGAGATAAACCCTGAGTCTGGCAGTTAAACAAAGTCCTTTCAAATGGCCTTGACTCAATGTTCCAGTCTCAATCCCCGGTGATCTCTTGCCATCTCTCCTCTACCAACTCCATCCCCCACACCCCTGCACAGTGTAGGCATGTCAGAGCACGCAGTGTTCTTTGCTCCTACCAAGCCTCCCCCCTCCACCCCCCCCCCCCCCCCCCGCGCCTTCTGCCTACAGAATCCTCTTTAGCCTTCAAGGCCCAGATCAGATATCATCCTTCTATGTTAAGCATTGTCCAGTTCCCTGAGGTAGAATTAACTGCTCATGCTGACTTCCCTGCGATCCCTTGCCCAGGTCTCTGTGGCAACCTCCACCATTGCAAGAGGCACTTAACCTGGCAAGAGATTCTCGGGCTTCCAGCTGACTGTGCTTCATATTCCTGATCCACCTCTTAGCAGTGGTTCTATTTTGGGAAAGCTATTTACTGACTCTGAGTTTCCATTTGTTTTGTCTTTAAATGAGGACAGTGAAGTCTGCCTTACAATTTAAGTGGTTATGGGTTCAGAATTCACACATATACACAGCACCAAGTCTTCTGATGTGATGGTGAAGAAATAGATGGTCTGCTTCAAACTCTGTTTTAGCAACTTGCTATTTGGCCTTTGGAACATTACTCTGTACCTCAGTTTCCCTCTCTATAAAACAGAGCAAATACTAGTGCTTACTCAGAGAGCTGTTGTGAAGATTAAATATCATATAGGTCTAATGCTTAGAACAGTGCTTAATTCATGTGAAAGTTAAGCAAAAATGACCACAGTAGATACTCAATGACTCTAACTATCATTGACTATTTTGTCATGGGCTGTAAAGTCATCTGTGCCTGAGAGACCATGAAAAATGGGGGCCAGGACCTGTGTTTTGTTCGTCTTTGCAGCTCCAGGGCCTATTGGCCCTCAGTGAATAGGTTGAGTTGCATTGATTTGGGAATTGGTGAGATGTTGAAAACAGGATAGCAAGTGATGGCCTTAGAACTGGTGATCAGAAAAAGAGGACAGCAAAGAACTGTTTTGGTAACAGGAAAGTGAGCTCCAAGATGGAGATTTGTGTGTTAGCCTCAGTGCCTTGCACAATGGCTGATGCCTAGTTGCTAAACAATGTTTATGCGCAGTTGGTAAACAGTATTTGTTGAATAAAGTACACCAAGAGGAGAAAATGGAAAGTGAGAAGTGACTGCAGTTGGAGAAAGTCTGTGAGAGGCGTATTTGAATTGCAGCAGGGAAGGAGAGGGTGAAGGGAAAGAATGGGAGCAGACAAGAGTTTGTTAAGTCCATTCCAAATAGATAAAATGGGCAGCAGTGGGAAGGCTCAGATAACTAGGTCTACAAAATGGGAAGGTGTGTTGTTATGGAATTAGAAGGGAAAGGTTGGGCAATGAACTACGCCAGGGAGACAAGTGCGCAGGAAATTGACTACTCTGAGCAAAAGGAAGAGGCGAGAGTGTTGGGCTGGGGTGATCTTTGCCTGCAGAGAGACAGTGTCTCCTCTGAGTCAGAAGGAAAGAAGCCACCAGGAACCAGTGTCTCCCCGGGGCAGCAGCTGCTACAGCCCCTTGACTTTGGCATGGGGCTGACAAACATGGGAGGGAGGAAAGGAAACCAGTACCTTGATGCCTGCACTCCGGCACTTGCCCACAGCATCTGGCACAGCTGCGCGGGGTGGGTCAATCATAGACATGAGCCCCACAAAGCACAGCTTCTCTGTGGGAAAGTTGAGCTCATCGGTGTCAAATTTGAAGCCTCGGGGAAACTTTCCAGAGGGCAGGTTCAGTTGACAGAACCCTGAGGAAGGGCAGAATGGAAGCGTGAGAGCAGCACAGAGGCTGCTTGGATGCCCCCTGGGATGCCACAGCGGAAGGATCCCTCTCTCAGCCAACCTCTGTTGCTGTGTCTCACCCAGCACACGCTCCCCTAGTCCTCCCAGCTCCATGTAGGCATTTTGAAAGGCATCTTGCATCTCCTTGTCAAGAGGGATCTCCTTGCCCTGCACCAGAATGGTGGAGCACCTGTCCAGGATGCGTTCTGGGGCCCCCTTCATCACCAGCACGTGGCTCTGGGGGCTGTCTTCACGCTCATGGATAGACAGCTGGAGAGGGAAAGGCAGTTACAGAGGGACTGTATTTGTCTTAGTGGCTCTAGTACCCAGCATGGGGTCTGGTACAGAACAGCTGTTGTAAGGAAATGTTTAATAAAAATAACTCAAATGCATCAAAGCCTGTCAGCAAAGGGAGACTCATTGTGCATGGAGGGGTGTTTGTTCAACTCTTCCAACCCAAGAGTCACTGCCATAAGACATTATTATGCTCAGTCAAAACAGAATATTTGAAGGGATGAATGGTTCTCCTCAACATTTCCTACCCCACTTCAGCCCAACAGGCTTTACCTTCCTGGCTCATATAGAGTGTAGCCAAGATTGTTCTTGGCACTTAACAGGGGCTGCTACACAGCCTTGGACAGGTATATCATAAGGGAATTACTAAAGTGGGCTTCAATTAAGTAGGATGGCAGAGTTGAAGGACCATGTAGTAGGGACTGTAGTAAGGGTTCAGGAGTTAGGGAGTAATTGCAACCAGACATGCTGTCAGACAAATTGTCCTAGGGTAGGCAGGGGTGAGACATTGCTGTCTGCAGATGGCCTTGGATGGCCCTTTTATGGAGTTTTCCCACTCCTCCCCAGTCTTGTCCCCCATTTTGTCCTGTTTCTTCCTCTGACCTAGCAGCCCAGCAGACCTGGTACTTGTTGGTAGAGTTGAAGGGAATCTCTGCCACCTTGGGATTCCTGTCCCTCATCTTCCTCACTGAGCCACAGGACAGCTCAATGCACTTGAGCAGAGCTGACTCGGAAGCATCACCGGCTGTGTCCCGCTGCCAGAAGACAAGAGAATTCAGTGTCAGGGCTGGGAAGGGAAGAGAGTAGAGGAACAGGCAAGGATGATCTAGAGGCTCCCGAGGCAGTCACAGGGCGTGAGAGGGAAAGCCCATCTTTGGGACACATCCTCCAAACACACCTATGTGTACACATGTGCACACGCATGCATGCACATGTGCGTGTGCTGGCTGAACCCCTACCTTAGACACAGAAATGTTCTCCTGCCCAGCCTTGAACACAGCACGGTTGCAGAGACCAGCAATCCGAGACAGGGCTGTCCATGTAGGGGATCGCTTGTCAAAAGTGGCCCCTGAGAGAAAATAAGGGAGAGACAAACAGGAGCTCGGCCTCCCTTTAGAGGCTTACCTCCCCTCCAGCCAGTGTCTTGCCAGTGGCCTACTCAATCTCTGCCCCCTGCACCCACTCTAGAGCACCCAATCACCAGACTGGTCTTCAGTAGTATCAGCCTCATGGATCTGGTTGTCAAACCACATGTGGGCAACCGTCATGCGGTTCTGGGTGAGGGTGCCTGTCTTGTCTGAACAGATGGTAGATGTGGAGCCCAGGGTCTCTACAGCCTCCAGATTCTTCACCAGGCAGTTCTTCCGTGCCATACGCTTGGCTGTCAGCGTCAAGCACACCTGGTAGAGAGAAAGAACCAAAAAGGGTTAAGTAGAGAGCACAGACACCCATGACCTTCCCCTTGACTGTAGCTCTCTTCCTTCTACCTTAGTCTTATTGCAAAAATATGAAGGAGAGCTAGCAGTAAATAGTGATGTGTTCAACTTTAGGCATGCCAAATAGGACCATAGGTGTGTATTAGGATAAATGCCCAGCTGAGACTTGACTAAAACTCTGAGGATATGTGAACCCAGAAGAGACACTGTGGGAGGAAATGGACTTGCTTTGGGACTATAAAAAGAGGTGCAGATTGCAGGAACCTGAGAAGTCGTGTCAGGAGGAGAAGGAGAGGATACTGTAGGAGACCAAGGGCAATAGAACTGAGATAGTGACACATCACTGTAGTTAATGAAAGATGGAACTCTAAGAGGATGGGCACATATCCATTTCAGCATCAGAGTGAAGGATGGGGGCTGAGAAATGTCGCTGGATTTGCTAGTTAGTCATTGTTGACCTTTGAGAGAGCTTTTACAGGCAAGTTGGCCAAGAAGAGCCGGGGAATCCAGAGGGAGGAGGGGTGAGATGAGCACATGGATGGTGAGAAAAGGTGACCATGACAAGCGCAGGAGAAACTGAGGGTCTGGACGTGGCCCAACCTGAGGTTTTGTGTTGTTGTTTTTTTCTAGACTTAAGCTCTGAGCCATGTATTACGTGATCTCTGAGTACAAGTAACACGTGACTTTAGGAATTCCAAGGGGGAAAAGTCACCAAAAGGCAATAAGCTAAGCCACTGCACCTCTCCCATTCTGAGGAGAGTGTAGTGAGCTGTCCTCATTCCAGCCTGAGTGGCACTCACAGTGACAGTTGCCAGAAGCCCTTCAGGCACATTGGCCACGATGATGCCGATGAGGAAGATCACTGCCTCCAACCAGCTGTAGCCCAGGATGAGAGAGAGCACAAAGAAGGAGACTCCCAAGAACACAGCCACCCCTGTGATCAGCTGGATGAAGTGTTCAATCTCCATGGCTATGGGTGTCTGCCCAACCTCTAGGCCTGAAGCCAGAGTGGCAATGCGGCCCATCACTGTCCGGTCACCGGTGGCGATCACAATGCCCCTGGCAGTGCCTGAAACAGGAAGAAGCACAGGAATGGGTGACCTGGGATTGCCAGGACTGAAGTCTCCTTGTACTCTGTGAACAAAGAAAATGATCACAGACTAGAAAGGCTGAAGACTCAGATCCTAGAGCCCCCTTTCGGTAGGTTGTACCTGACACAGGCTCCCCCTCCCTTCACAGATGACCACTTCCACACTCAAGACAGCAGCATGCTATTTTCTCTTATACTTGGGCTTGAGGAGAAGCCTTGCAAAGTAATGCTAAAGTTCAAATGAGGGAGAGTCAATAAGTGAAATAAAAATTGCCTGTACTGCTACAGCAAAATCAATCTTATATTCAACAATATCACCAAGCATATTATTAACAGAAACAAAGCACTTGCGGATTTTTTTATATAGCCTTAATATTTTCTTTCTTAATGTTGGGCATGAATATAAAGAAGTTAGGCAATCATTAATTCTTGTGTGACAGTACAGGAGTGTGGTACAGCAGAAAGGTCTTGGAGTCTGCCAAATCTGGGTTTGAATCCCTGCTTGAATTCCTACTCAGGGGTTGTTTTAATAATTAAATGAAGTAATAATGTGCTTTACCTAGACCAGCACCTGGCACACGGTAAACATTTGACAAATGTTAGTTACACTCATTTCCTCTCCACTCCCCTCTTCAAGTCTAATTGCACAATGAGCAGGAAGAGTATCTTATCAGGCATTTCTGAACAAATCAATTGTGGAAAATGTTGGGTAAATTTCAGAACCTCAGTACATTAAAAATTTAGGACATTTAATATGAAGTGATATTTACTGTAATTCCAACTTGCTGAGGAGGAAAACAACCCCAAAGCAACATAATATCCTGAGAAGAAAGGAGTGATAGGAAGGGAAAGGTAAGGAGTTGGGGTACAAAGCCTCCTTTGCCGTCTCTCAGAGGCCTTTGGGCTAGCCAGAGCTTCCCTCTCCCACTATCTCTGCCCTCTGCTCCTCCTCTGAGTCATCCCTGAATCAGCTCCCTGGCCTGATCATAGAATGCACAGGCTTTGGTTGCATTTAGACCCTTGCTCTTAGGTAACGGCAACATCGGGGAGTTCTTGTTAACAATTATGTTCCATCTCCAGGACCCAGAACAGAGAAGGAGTAAACCTGTCTATTATGAATCTTTTCTTTTGGCACAGGTCTAGATGAGGACTGAAGGACTCACGTGTTCACCTGGCTTGAAACTTACCCTTCCCAGCTTGGGGCCCGGGTAAAAGTGGAGAAGCAAGTAATTAGCCCCAAATGACAAGCAATAGAAGGCATCAGATGCATTTACAAGCCTCCTAAGAATCATGCTTGATCTGTGAGGTGTGTGTGTGTGTGTACATTTGTGTCCATATGTGCATGTCTACACAGTGTGTGGGGAGATCTCAGCCCACTATTCTGAAGACTGAAATCCGCACAGTCTAGAGTTAGAGCTCTTCTGGTGGGGAGGTGACTTTTCCATGGAGTTATTTTGCTTCTGGTCAATGCTCTGCTCTGTGGCAGTGATTCTTCAGAACCCTCCATCTCTTAATGTCCCTCTTTGTAGAAGGGCTTTGGCCGAGCAAACCTTCAATCTTGACAAACTCCTCAGGACCAGGACACTTCCCGCTCTTGTACTGGGATGGCAGCATAGTTTCTCACCTTCCACACAGTTAGTAGAGAAGAAACAGATATTGCGGGTCTCCAGGGGGTTCTCATGGGTGAACTCAGGGGAGCGGGTCTGGGGCTCTGACTCTCCTGTTAAGGATGAGTTATCCACCTGCAAGGGAACGAGTATGCAGTCATTCTAGCAGTAGCACATGCGCGTACACAGCTGTGTCCTGAGCTGAGCCAGCTTGAATCACCCTCAATTTTCGTGACATGGACAAAATTATACTTGCTCGCATCACATATTTATGGCATTAGTCAGCTATTGTTCCTGCTCTGCTTTGGCATCCTGGCTCTTACTGATTGTATGTGACTTTGGGTTATTTACGTAACTACAAAGCTTCCATTTGCTCATCTGTAAAATGGGGAATATAAACAAAATCACTGCATTGCACAACTCCAGAGGTGTCCCTAACACTGTAGTCTGTGAAAATGCTTTTACTCCTCCAGGAATTGTTCAGGACATAGCCTGTGTGGCCATATGCAGCAGCTCTACACAATTAGGTCATTAGTGACCCCAGGCTAGCTTTAACCTCAATGAATCCTTCTGTCTCTTGAGATTGAGATTATAGGTGTGTGCTCCCACACTCAACTACACCATTCTTCCATAGTGAAACAGATAATCTATGTGAAATGTCTGACACCTACTTGGTATACAGTACACATTAACCATAAAGGGACTATCAGGACATAGAACATTCCTCATACGCAGCTACATGAAGGTAGCAATAACCTTCTATATGCTAAGAGAAGATTCAGCTATGAGGTATGAAGAGAGGTTGGCATTTGAAACTGTTTCCTTTTAAACTTCAGATAGGACCCTCTCAGCTCTATACAGTCTGCTTCTTAGACCCAACCACCTCTAGATCTGATGTGACCCCCTCACCTTGCAGCCGTGAGAAGAGATAATCCGGAGATCAGCAGGGACACGGTCTCCACCCTTCACCTCCACCAGATCTCCCACCACCACCTCCTCCGCATTGATCTGCATCTTCTCTCCCTCTCGGACAACAAGCGCTTGCTGTGGACAGGCCATGGGCAGCTCATGAAATGCTTGTCTCTATCCCTTCCCCCTTCTCCAACTCTAAGGGGAAAGAGAAATACTCCACACCGTTAGTGACAAAACTAGGTCTCAGTGTGGAAAGCTGGAAGATCTTTTCTGTCCATGTCCATCTCTGAGCACACAAGGAGGTGAGTGAGGGCAGGGGAGCTGGGCCATCCCATTATACCTGAATGGAGCCCAGCCCCACCATCTACCTGAGGCACCATGTTCTTGAAGGAATCCATGATCTTGGAGCTCTTGGCTTCCTGGTAGTAGGAGAAGCAGCCTGTGACAATGACCACGGCTGCCAGCACCACACCCAGATAGAGCTGGTAAGAAGAGACAGTTGGAGGGACTTAGCATTCCCCACTTTACAGGGACTGTGCTACTCAGGATGAGCACTCAAATGCCATCCTATATGAGAACCTTGGCATTCATATGTGCTTAGGAGTGAGAGCGGGAGTGGAAGTCCTCTCTAACGTCCCTCTATCTTCCAAACCTCAGTCTCCTAGGATGGAGGGGGCAAGGAACATTCTAGAACTAGGACTTCTCCAGAGGTGAAAACCCAGAGATTCAGACCTCCCTGCTTAAGTGGGAAGGAACAGGGAGGAGCTGTCTCACTCATCATTGTGTGTGTGTGTGTGTGTGTGTGTGTGTGTATGTGTGTGTGTGGAGGTGCTTTGTAGATAGGGCACAGGCCTTTCCCATCTGGGCCCAAGAAACTAGGACATGAGGATCTTGTTCCTTGCACCTTCCCCACCACTACATTGGGGGATTTAGAGTTGGAAGACAGAGCCATGGGGGGGGGGGGTGGGCAAAAGGCCAGGTGTGTTGCTTACATTGTCATTGGATGGTTCATCTTCCATGGCAGCCTGGATACCATAGGCTAGGAAGCAGAGGATAGCCCCAATCCAGAGCAGGATGGAGAAACCCCCAAAAAGTTGACGACAGAACTTGACCCACTCTGGTGTTGTGGGGGGTGGAGTGAGAGCATTGGGCCCATCGCGAGCCAGAATGTCCTGAGCCCGCTGGTTGGTGAGGCCCTAGGGAACAAAGAAAAGTATGGAAAACATACACATGGAGCCAACTTAGTCCCCACCATACCCCTGCAACTCCTTGGCAAGGAATGGTGACCATCTAGAGAGGATGTAGAGGCCTCGAAGACTGAAGAGGATCCCAGCCTTTTGAAGTTCTGGAGCCACTTCTGACTGTGGCTCCACCTCTGAAAGTTCTTCTATTGAGATGTCTATTTTGGTTAGGGACACAGCATCTCCTGTGGGAAGCCTAGATAAACATCCTGGAAAAATACCCCTAGAGTCTTCCTCCTGTCTCTTTTTCTTTAGGTTCTCTTCTTTTACCTGAGCTTCATAACTCTTTATGAAGAGCATTGACCTACAGCATTGACCAGCAGGGTGATCTTTGGCAGTCACCTGTCATTTTCCACAGGAAAGCCAGGCCAGGCTGTTTCTCTGGCCCCAATCTGGCTCAGAGGTCTTTTTTTATTTTTGTCCCCATAATGTCTCATGCACCGTTAGTGTCCACCATTAGTGTCACTAGATCGCTTTGGGACTCTGAGGACAATACCAACAAAATCCCTAGTCTCATGGAGCTCATGCTCTATATTAGTCATAAGCACAATAAATAAATGAAGAAATGAAACATAGAATTTCAGGAAAGAGGGCTGGGAAGGTGGCTCAGTGGTAAAACGCTTGCCTTGCATGCCTGAGGCCCTGGGTTCGATTCCTCAGCACCACATAAGCAAAAAGAAAAAAAAAATTTTCAGGAAAGATGGAAGGAAAAGAGTATGTGAGAAGGTATCAACTCACTAAAATTTTGGGTTAACAAAGTTTTATTTGCTTGTTTTTAGATGAGGACTTTCTTTCTTTCTTTCTTTCTTTTTGCGGGGGGGGGGGGGGTCCGGTCGTGGGGCTTGAACTCTGGGCCTGGGTGCTGTCCCTCAGCTCTTCAGCTCAAGGATAGCACTCTATCACTTGAGCCACAGCGCCACTTCTGGCTTTTTTCTTTTTGCTTATGTGGTGCTGAGGAGTCGAACCCAGGGCCTCAGGCATGCAAGGCAAGCGCTCTACCACTGAGCCACCTTCTGAGCCCTAGATGAGGACTTTCTATATTGCCTGAATTGGTCTTGAACTTCTGGGCTCAATAACCCTCCTAACTCAGCCTTCAAAATTGCTAGAACAATAACTATAGTACAGCTATTACACTGGTAAGATTAATAAACTTGTTTTCCATATTGGGTATTGAATCAATATAGAGCCTCACACAAGCTAGATTAAGACAGCCTCATTCCCAGCATTCCTTTATGTTTTGTTTTGAGACAGAGTCTTACTAAGGCCTTATTAGTCTGGCATCAAACTAACAGTCCTCCTCTCTCAACCTCCTCAGTAGCTGGGATTACAAGCATGTGCCACTATGTTCAGCTTAGGCTAACATTTTTTTTTTTCAGTATTGGGGCTTGGACTCAGGAGTTCTTACAGGTTAATATTTTTCAAATGTTTTGAAGGGGTGGGCTCGGCAATCTGACTATGCCACTTGCTTGTATGACCTGGGAAATTTGCACTTGAATCTCCTTGCTCTAATCAACAGTCTAACAGTACCTGACAAGGTTATTGTAAGGATTAGAGAAACCACATAATGCATCTATCATGGATGGATGCAGAGATGGATGGATGGATGTATACATGGATGTATAGGTGTAGCAGGAGCTCATCAGATTACCATAACAATAGGATGGATTACCTTGTTAGGTCATGTGGGTCAGCTCATGAGTGGTTATATATATCACTGGTTTACTAGGGGTAGAGGGCAGATCCTTTCTCAGAGTCCTCTAAAAACTGAGTTCTAAGGACTCATGGCTCCCAGAGCATTAAGAGAAAATGCTTTGTACTAAGAAACAGAAATTCCACATTTTAGTTGTAGGTCTGCCACCCTCTAGCCACATGATTGGGCGAGTTCGTTGTCTCTAGGATGGACCCCTCATCTGTGAGGGTTCTACTATGGTTTCTAGGCTCTCCCACTTGATGGCGCATTGTTCTCTTACCTCTTAGGCCTCTGCTGTAGAAACCTGTTCCCTTACCTTGGACAGGTCCACTTGGTATTTGCGCCCTAGCTCATCCAAGGACAGCTTGTGATCATCCTGAGGAGGGAAAGTGGAGTTACTTTGGGGAAGGAGGCTGAGTGCACTTGGAGCACAAGGGTAACGTGAGGAGCCTGGCAGGGGGATCTCTCTGGTTGCACAGGGCTGCCAGCTCAAGACCCTGCTGGGTGAGTCATGCCCTCACCATGTCCACCTCCTTCTTCAGCTCATCCAGCTCTTTCTCTTTTTGTTTCTTCTTGCCACCCCCATTCTCCGCAGTGGTGGCGGCAGGTGAGTACTCTCGGCCGGCCTGAGGGGGGAAGAGAGCACAGACTCAGGGGTCAAGCTGAATCCCCTCTTCCTACCATCCAGCCAGGCTGAGAAGTGAGCAGTGGACTTGAAGGCACTGACTGTCCTGGGGGAGGAGAAAGATGGAGGGGTCTAGGCTCTCACATGTAGATGACTGATGGAGCCGTGAGACCTCCACATGTGAACTGCAGGGAAGACCAAGGGACTCAGGATGAGAGAAATGCATTTTGTCTATTCAGTATATGATACATGGGTTTCTGCTAGATAAAAAACAACACACACATACACACAGAAATCTTGTAAAACACAATTCTATGCTGTTTAGAATTCTGAAAGCAAGTGGACAGGGCAGGTGAGGGAGGAGAGTGAAAGAGGAGAAGCATCTGAGGAAATGCCTTTGCTCAACACTGTGGTTATTGTGCTTAGGAATAACTATGACTAAGATTGTGAGGGGAGGAAGAATCTTGGAGCATCCAGGAAGAAAAGAAGGTTTGGTGGTAGAGTCGTGGAAATTGAAGGTGCAAGGCTGATGGGCTGAGAAATGTCAGTAATGGAAGATCCAAGAAATGGGAATCTGGGATGTGCTAGGAAGACCTACCCAAAACTGGAAGGAGGTAACTTGAAGGACTTAACATACCAAAGCCCAACTGGGCAAGAAGGAAACTGGGCTCAATTTGTCCCAAAAAATAAAAGAAATTATATCTAAGAGCAAATCTAAAGCTAAAATTGTTAGGTCTAGCCAGTCCCGGGTGATATTTCAACTGTAGCCTCATGAAATTCCCCATTTCTACTTCTTTTCAGGGCCGCCTTCAGCTTCCAGTCGTCTCAAAGAAAGCTCTAGGAAGAGAATGGGAACTTTCTCCTTCCTAGAGGAGGCCATCTTGGCATGGTGGGTGAGGGTTGGGGAAAGGCCTGGGTTCCATGGTTCGAGTCCACTACCATCCTTCTTCAGCCCTCTACCTTCTCCCCCTCATGGGCTCAGATATAAGGTGCTTGTTTTAGAGAGGCTGCTCAGTTTCTATCTGGTGTCTTTGACTCTTTTTTTTTTGTCGGTCGTGGGGCTTGAACTCTGGGCCTGGGCGTTGTCCCTTAGCTCTTCAGCTCAAGGCGAGCGCTCTACCACTTGAGCTACAGCGCCACTTCCGGTTTTCTGGTGGTTTTATTGGAGATAGGAGTCTCACGGTCTCTCCTGCCCGGGCTGGCTTTGAACCACGATCCTCAGATCTCAGTCTCTTGAGTAGCTAGGATTACAGGCGTGAGCCACCAGCGCCCGGCTGTCTTTGACTCTTCATTGGACCTAAAAGCTGCACAAAGTGGGTTGTGTTTGAACTTACAGACATGACTTTCTGGAATTATTTGTCTATTTTCCATGAAGAGCGAATAACTGAGAGGATTAACAGCTGAAGTGTTGTGCTTTTTTTCCTTCAAGATTATGCATGGGGAGGTATTTGTTCATAAATAATAGACTTTTTTTCTTTAGCAAATTTTTTGGTTCAGTGCAAATTTGGAATGGAAAGTAGAGAAAGTTCCCAGATATCTCCTGACCCTCCTCCTTATCCCCCACACATGGACAACCTTCTCCACTATCAGCATCCAGCCCCAGAACAGTACATTGTTATAGCTGATGATCCCACATGGACACATTACTATCACTCAACCAATGTCCATGCCTAGGCATGCCTTGAGGAGAAGCTGGGGCTGAGAGCAAGGGATAAAGCCCAGAGGAATTAGATGTGAAGAAAAGTACATAAAAATTAGAATCAAACGCATACTTCTAGACCTGGGTATAGTGGCATAAACATGTAACCCCAGCACTCAGGAGGCAAAAACAGGAGAATCTGGAGTTTCAAACCAGCTTGGCCCTACATAGCAAGACCCTGACCCAAATAAACAAAAATGCATGCATATATGCAAACTAGTTGGTCCATGCACATTGACATGTTAGATTGTGACTGAGCTAAAGCAGCTCTGTTCAGTGCCTTCTGTCCCTAAGCTCCCACCCTGTTCTCCTGGCCCAGAGCTTGGGGCATATGGCCCCTCCCTCTCCTGCCCTGGCAAGGATCTCAGGCTCTGCAGCCAGATCCTGCAGAGATTTGAGGCCAGTGGCTGCCCAGGCAAGAAAGAAAGAGGAAGCAAGGACCCCCCTTCCTCATTCTGTGTCTCCCTCCCCCACTACAAGTCCTTCTCCCCGGGTCTTGAATGCTGAAGGAGAACAGAGAGTTCTTTCTGAGAAAGCCAGAGGCTGGGACAGAGTGGGGGCAGCTGGACATCAGCCAATGCTCCCCCCACCTCTGCCTCTGGAGAAGGCTGGGCTTCCTCCCACCAGATATGTCCCTTCCCCCAACTCCCACGCTGCCCTCATGGCACACCGTAAAGGGCTGAGGGTTGGGCCTTGCTCTGAAGTGAAGCGGCTGGGAAGAAGGAACGAGAGGTAAAAGGAACATGGGGACAGAGGGTAGGCAGTAGAGGTATTTTCTCTTCAGAGGCTTAGAATCCTGTCTAACAGACAAGCCTCTGATCCCAGATATTGCTGTCATTCATACCAGACAGACCAGATCAGCCTCCTTTGAATCTTGCTATTAATTCTCCCTAAGGTAGATGAGGGGCTGCAGGGGTTCAAGGGGAGAAGAAAGACTGGTAAAGTCAAGGTCAAATTGCTTCCCAGGCAGGACTACTTATCTAAACTAGTCCACCTTGCTCTAAGGAAGAGTTTGTGTGTGTGTGTGTGTGTGTGTGTGTGTGTGTGTGTGTGTGTGTGTGTGTGCGTGTGCCTATACTCCATTTTTCTACTTGAGTTGGGGTTGGAGGGCTTGCCTGGCCCACCAACCCTGGCCTCTTAGGTGCCTTGCACATGAATTGGAGACTCCTTTTTCCATGAGTAAGAGATGTCAAGGTAAGGCTGAAGGTCCCAGGTCATCCACAGTGCTAAACATCTTCCTCTGTGAAACGCCCACCCCATAGGCCTATCCTAAGGGCAGGCCAAGAGTCCCTCACACTGCCTCCCAGTGACATCTAGGCTCATGCATGCTCCAAGGCTTGGGCATTTGCAAATTTACCTGCTGAGACACAATTCAGGTGAGTGAATATTCATGAGTACTTCCAGTGTATAGGGAACATGTGGTCATGGACAGACAGATGGACAGACAGACAGACAGACAGACAGACACACACACACACACACACACATTCTATTTCTAGCTCCTACTCTAGCTCAGGAACCCTGATGTCCAGGCTCAGAGTTTTCTCAGCTGCTCAACTTTGTGCAATAACAATGCGTCCTTGCCTGTCTCCTACTGGGTCCAGAAATTAGCCCACTGTGCCCCCGATCCTGTCTTTCTTGCACTCTGCTAGGTTCTCCATGCCCTTTCCCTTCATGCTGTCTTTCACCATCATTCCACAAAAGGAAGGCAGCCAGGCACAGTATGAGAAGGGATTGGGTCACTTTTCTCCATATGGGAATTTCATTTCCAAGAATTGGAAGCCTTGTCCCTGCCTGCCCCGACGTGGCTGTTAATCTTCCCCTTGGCAAAGCCACTGCTGCAGCGTGCCATAGGCAGAGGAGTGGGGGCAGCTGGGGTGGGGGCAGAGGAGTGGGGGCAGCCCTCACCAGCTTCAGGGCAAGTCCTTTAAGCCCATGGCCTGGAGCCGAGGACAGAGCTTCTGGGGACATCCGGGAGGTGGTGCTGGGGTGGGGGCTGAGGGCACATCACTTTTCCTCCCCCACGCTTCCCAGCTGTCCAGGGCACACTTGGTCCCTGAACTGGTGTTGGGAACTGCCTGGTAACCTTGGGACAGGATGCTCTGTTGCACCTATCCAACTTCAGAAGACCCCCCCCCCCCCCCCGTTCTCTCAGGCTGTGACTCCCAGAAGGATAGAGATTTTCAGTGGGCAGAAAAGATGGAGAGAACTCACAATGCCAAACAGCCCTTTAGCCCAGAGGCCAGGAAATGTGTTGAGAGAGGGACAGCCCAGGCAAGAGGTGCATAGCAATGTGAGGATGCGGGCAGGGACGGCCTTGCGGGGAGAGGTGCAGGGGAGTGGGCTTTGGAGCTCGTTGTTAGAAGGGCTAGGAGGAGGGCAAGGACAGGTACAGAAGAGGAGAGCATTGGGGCTCATGGGTGCCATGGGATACGTACATGGGAGATTGTTAGCTCCGAGTTCAAACCATCCCATTCAGTTTCTCTCTCCCCCTCCCTCCCCAGCTCATTCCTCCCTCTCCCTCCACAAAGTGTCCCCTACTCTTAGGGGATACTTACCCCACGACCCATCTTGGGCCAGAGTTGGCCTAGGGGGACCTAGGCTGGAGAGGTCACCAGGAGGATCTCAAGCTCACACCGGTTGACTGGGGCAGCTGGAGACCCTGGCAGACAGACAGAGACAGCCGGAGCAACAGGGTAGCTTTAAATAGGTCCCTCTCCCCCTTACCCCGCCTTCCCCTCCTCGGGAAAGAAACAGTTTGTTGAAACTGGATCCCTGAGGACTCCTCCCCTCCCACCCCTTTAGCAACTGGCCTGTTGGCCAGTCTGTTTTGTCCTGTGGCTGCCCCCCCACACCACCCCAGCTCTTCTCCATAGCCCCCCCCCAGGCCTCTGGCAGTAGCAGTTGGAGGTGGCAAGGGGAAGGGGCTGTGGTGTGTGTGTGTGTGTGGGGGGGAATCCAGGGAATGTGGCCCTTAGGGAGCAGTCAGTTCAGGATCCCAGGATGTCAGAGGCCATCCCTTCTAACCCTTCTTATATTTCCAGGTGGGAAAATGATGCTCAGAGGGATTTCAACAATTTGAGCTAAAAACCAAACCAGAATTCAGGTCCTCTGAAAGCCAAGTGCTGGTAGCTCATGCCTATCATCCCAAGTACTTAGGAGGCTGAGATCTGAGGATCATGGTTCGAAGCCAGCTCCAGCAGGAAAGTCCATGAGAATCTTATCTCCAATTAACGACCATAAAAGTACTTAGACATCAATATCCAGGCTCTATGTAGTCTGGTTTGATGGAGAAGTCTCCTGCAAGCTGTGCCTAGGGAAAGAAGAGGGAAGCTTGCCTTGGGCTGGAAGGCTCATCTTCAGCCCCATACCATCTAGGAAGAGGGACAGAGGAGATGACCAGGCAGGGTCATCCACTGTTCATTTGATGAGAAAACCAAAAAGTGAGTGTGGGGGGTAAAGTAGGAAAGGAGAGAGGACAAGTTCCTGTTCCCATTGTCTCCTCCCAGCACTCAGAGGACAGGACTGTCCAAAAGTGTTCCATTTCTCTCGGCTCATAGCTGGAAAGAAGGGAAGCCAGCTAGGTAGGGGCAATTCTGAGAGGCCTGGAAGGAGGACAAAAGGAGAGAGGAAATGGGGCTTTGGCTGGAGGCCTACGGTACCTGCTGGCTGGGCTGGGTCCCTTGTCTCCCAGAGGGAACTCCCTGCAGAGAGTTATGGACCTTGCTTCCAGTGAATCTACTGTGGGGGCATGGGACACACTTCTAAATTCCCTAAATAAATGCTCCCCTCTGGGCCTGCAGCTGAGATTTTCCATTACAGGGATCTGGAAGGTCACATACCATTTGCACCCCCCTTCTTCCTCCTGGGTCCAGGAAGGAGGGGGACCTTCTCATGTCTCTCCATGGTCCCCTCTGGACTTGAATGATTTGAGCCTGGAGTAGAATAGGCAGGGAAACAATGAGGGTTTCTGTGCAGTCCTTATAGAGCAGAATGTGTAGAACCGAGAGAAAGGAGGGTAGCGGAAGATGTAACAGGAAGGAGCATTGCCCAGAGACTGGTAGGCAGAACAGACTTGCTGTAGGCTTAGAGGTGAACAAGATGAAAACTCAAGGCTTAGAAGGTACCTGTACCCTAGCTTCCTAGTTTAGAATTATCCCTGGGTTGTCTTCTGCACAACATTCTCCAGGATACAAAGTACACAAAAGAGAAACTTGGTGGCTCCAGACTGGCAGGTATACAAACTTCAGGCCCTGGGCTTGAACCCTTTTCATTACACACCACCCCCATCTCTGCTGGCACCTCCCAGTACTGCTCAGTCCTTCCCACACTCTGGCTCTGGTCCCTGTTACCAGGCTCAATACTGGAAAGCATTGTGCCCGTTCTCTGCCCATACAGCCTGCTGGGGCTCCTTGCCATGCCCTGCACCGTCCAAGGGCACTTCTGCTCACATGCTTGGGGCCCTAAGTGATGGGTGGACAGGGCGATCAGGGCCTGCTTTTTACCCATGCCTTACTAATCCTGCCAGTAAGTGGTACTTCCTTATACATGGTGGACCTCAGAAAGAAAAGGTGTAATACCTGGTCCTTTGATCTAGAGTGTCTGGGTTGGGCTTCCTGTGAGTCCGGTCAATGCTGCCCATTTGGATCAAGGCCTTGTAGCAAGAAAACAGAAAGACTTGCAAACAGGAGGTAGGAAGGCCAGGATGACTCTACTCCGAGTGAGCTTGAGACAAAGTCACAGATCAGAAAGGGGATCACAGGGGTAGGATGGAGAGGTTCTGAGCCAACTGATTGTTGGTATGGAAAGACCTGGGAAGAAGTGGGATTGAGTGTGTGTGTGTGTGCGTGTGTGTGTGTGTGTGCGTGTGTGTATGTGTGTGTGGGTAAGGGAGAGATAGAAACAGAGACAGACGACTGTGTACTTGCCTGTGCATATATGCTAGTTAAGGCCGAAGGGGTCATGAGTGTGTGGGATCCTGCGGATGGGTATGAGACCGTGGGAATGTGTCTGTGGACGGCTCGGAAGCACTGACTTGGATGTGTGGATAATCTGTTGTGAATTGCTTGTCTGCATGGCACGCACTGTGCGTGTGCACGTGTGCACAGTGTGTGGGCCACAGGGAAGGCAGTGCTGGGGCTGTGGGTGTACGTGAGAGTCCATGGGAGAATGAGTGTGTGCACAGGGGCGGGTGGGTGTGCTCAGCTGCAGATGGGCTCCGGAGGTCTCCAGGAAACTGTTTTGTTTCCTAAGTGACTGGCCTCCTGGGGCCTTCAGCCCAGTCTTGAAGGTTGTTTCAAGATCATGAAAGAGAGAGTGGGAGGGACAGAGAGAGGGAACAACTGGGAGACTGGATCACCCCCATAGTCCCTCCCCCCCGCCCCCTCACCCCACTTCTCTGTCCCAGTCCCAACCGTTCTCCAACCCTGCTTGCTCATCCTCCTCTCCTCGCTGCCAGCCCTCTGGGCAATGTCTGCCGCTCTCCTTTTCCATTCCCTTTCTTCTTTGGGGCCTGTGATCTTGTTACTACTGCCAGGCTTCTCGGGCCTTTTCTAGGAGGGAGGGAGAATTTTTACTTCCAAAGGGGAGCTATCTTAGGGTGATAGATTAGATGGGAGTTCAGGAAAGACTCTTGTGGCTTTGACTTGTGTCCAGAAAAGGTACCTTCTCACTTCTCCCTTTGTCCCCAGCCCTCTCTCCTGCCAGTCCCTTAGGCTGTGGGGACCTTGTGGTGGGGAGGTTGGGCTCAGAGCCACAGGTAAGCTGTCCAAGGCCAGTTGCTGCCTCAGTTCCCCATTGTACTATAAAGATGGAGTCAATTTTCTTTCCACCTCTTTCCTAACATCTACTCCTGCATTTTCTTCCTGGTCTTCTCAGTCTACTCAGAAGTAAAGTCGTGTGTGTGTGTGTGTGTGTGTGTGTGTGTGTGTGTGTGTGTGTGTGTGAGTGTGAGTGTTTCATGATTCTAATCTTAGTGACTCAGGAGATCTGAGATCTGAGGAACTGAGATCTTAAGATCAAGATTTGAAACCAGCTCAGGCTGAAAAGTCTATGAAACTCTTACCTCCAACGAACCATCAGAAAGGTAAAAGTGAAGGTATAGCTCAAGTGGTAGAATACCAGCCTTGAGTAAAAAAGCTAAGAGACAGCACTCAGGCCCTGAATTCAAGTCCCAGTTCCAAAACAAAACCAAAAAAAAAAAAAAAAAAAGAATTAAAAAATTCTGTCCCTTCATTTTTCCTTAATTCTGTCATCTTTACTCTCTTCCCTGGTTTTTATTTACCTTTATTTTTAAAAAAATATATAGAATTCAAAAACAGTGAGGGGGACACTCAAAAGTGCTTTTCCCTGCTGCGTGCCCACCTTTATTTTTCTGCAGTGCTGGGGGAAGAACTCTGGGCCTCATGAATGCTAGAAAAGGGCTCCACCACAGAGCCACACTCTCAGCGTTCCCATCTTTCCCACCTCTCCTTCCTTCTCTCTGGCTTTGGATAGTTTCATGCTGTGTTCTTCACCTAGACACCCAGGTGGAGGTGTGAGAGAGCAAAAGGAAAGAACTCACCTCTTAGCCCTTCTCTGGAGCACAAGGCTGCTCTGTGCCTGCTTCCCATATCTCTGAGTTTTCCCATTGTGTCTAGTGCAAGGGGCATTTGCTTGTAAGTCAGGTCAGCTGAGTTCAGTCTAAGAGGAGCCAAGTTGTCACCTAAGTGACCTTGAACAAGAAGTTGCTCTATGGTGGCTTTGTTGTCCTCATGACCAAGAAAACCTCTGAGGTCTCCTTTCCCCATGGCTTATCTCGGAATTCTGCACTTCCTCCTTCTCAGCTCATGGCTCAGCTCAGGGGAGAAGCAGAAGTTACCTACAGTCCCATCCGTATGAAAACCTTTGTCTGGCGACCTGGGTATAGAGGGAAATGAGGACAGGTGCTCTAGTCCTGTCTCCTAGCATGGATGCAGATGCTCCTACTTTGTTTAGTATGAGCCTGGCCTCTTTAACTGGGCATTAAATAAGAGCTCAGGGTTTGCATAGACTACCTTTGAATTCTTACAGCCACTGTGAGAAGTGGGACAGGGTCCTGGTATGCTTCAGGCAGAAGAGCCAGGCTAAGGTGAGGCTGAGGAAACCTGACATCTTTTGACTGGTATTCAGTGAGTTGATACCAGGTAGAACATTTTCCAGAGTTTCTTTGAACCAGGAAAAGCATGTCGGGGCAATGGGGAGGATAGGGTTAATGGGTCTTGCTGAGTTTGGGGGCAAGGGTCACAGCTGGGCCCTGCTGGGTTCCTGTTTGCCTTTGATTCCATCTGTGCAGTGGGAATGGCCCCCAGCCCTCCTGAGGCAGGTTTGCTTTGGCCAAAGATCTGACCCAGCCACTGGCCCAGAGCACCCCACCTCCCTGCTCTTCCTATCAAGAGGCAGCCTGGCTTGGCCTCAAGCCTCCTCTTTCTTACCTCCTTCTTCCCTTACCAGGCCCCTTCTTCTTGGCTCAGGATACAGTACCATGTGTCTGCCTGACCCCTTTGGTGTCCTGGATGCCTGCAAACATCTAGTACCCAGAGCCATAGCCTCTCCCCCCACACTGGATTTTCCTTGGAACTCCGTGGAGCTCAGCCTCCTCTGAGCCTCTCTTCAGGCGCAGGATCTTTTCATACTTGTGCCCCTTTCTGGATGCCATCACC